TTTTGTATTTTTTGAGAAAAGAGTACTGCTAAATTGCTGTGTTGTCTAGGCAGGGCTTGAACTTGGCAGTTCTGCCTCATCCTCCCAGAATGTTGGGAATAATTAACAGGTGTGAGCCACTGTGTCTAAAGATGTATATATATATATATATATAATACTTATATAAAAATCTTAAATGCATTGTATTTTATATAAAGATTTTATATAGGAAGTATATATTTAAATATATTTGGGAACATTGTATACTTTAACATAGTGTTATGAGTAATTTTGTATTCCTCCCTTGGCTAGCTCTTGCTTATACTTCAGATCTGAGCTTGAGTACTACTTTGTAAGAGAAGCTTTTCTCAAGTTAGGATTTCCTGGTAGCAAATGCTTTAATAGTAGTGATTATCACAATTCTAAAAATAACTGTCCAAATTGGTCGGACCACTTTGTAAAGACAGGGTCTTACTCATTTTGGTTACACTGTGTCCTCAGGACCCGATACAAGATCTGTCATGTACTGCACAGTAGTTAAGACTTGGGTTCTGGAGTAAGGCAGAACTAATGCATAAGAGCAGGCTCTGTTCTTAGGTGGCACTGGGCAGTAGCAGCCTCTTTTATTTCTATGACTTAGCTGTGGGAATGAGGGTACAGGAGTAACTTTTTGAGCCTTGGCACATTGGCCACATGGGTATAAGGTGTGTATCTGGGGAGTGACGTGGAACTCTGTGTCCTGCTGTGGCTGAGAAGAGCTCGAGCATTTTGTATAATTTGAGGCTTAAGCAGTTCACTATGTGTTATGGCTTGTGTTTAGATGTCCCCTCAAAGCCTCATGAGAATGAGGTGGGGCTATTTTGGCGGTGCCTGAATCTAGAGTGTGACATTGATTCATAATGGGGCGAGGCCTGAGGGCACCAGAATTATGGGTGTGAGTGCTACCTACCCTAACTAGTCTGAATAAGATAAAAGGGGCCGGAAAAAAATGCTCTTAAGGTCCTTTGTGTTGCTTTTGGTACTGTGTGGGCACCATGAACTATTTCTCCTCTGGAAGGCCTGTCTGCCACGCCACCCGCTTCCTTGGAGCCAGCCGAATATGGACTGAAACCTCTATAAACTGTAAGCCAACTAAACCCTTTCCCCTTTAACTTGGGGTATTTTGTCTCAGCATTGAGAGAAAAGTAACTAAAACACTATGGTATTCGTTTAACTGCTGCTTCACATGTTTAAGTATAGAATCGTGTGTCACTTAATGGTGGGATAAGGCAGTGGTGGGGAACCTATGGCGTGCATGACACAGCTGTTTGTATCACTGAAAGTGTTGAAAGGTTTGGCACCACTGGAGTAAGGGCTCAGAAATGTGCAGCAAGGTGATTCCCTTCTTTTGTGAACATCAGGGTAGGTTCACACGAACTGGGGTGGTAACATCTACCCTGGTAGTTTCTGATGCCTTCAAAGCGATGCTGTAAACACAAGATGTGAGGCTGCTTCAGAATAACAGTGTACTATCCTACAATAAACTTTTATTAAATAAGTATACGTTAACGCTAAAAAGTGAAAGCGAACTAGTGGCATAGTTGTTTGTTATTATGTACTATATGTAATTGTATGTACTGTACTTCTATGACTAGCGGCACCCCAGTTATGTCAGTGATGTTATGTGCTACAGTGTTATGACAGCTATAATGTCCCTAGGTAACAGAAATTTTTCAGCTTCACTTAATATCTTTCTTTCTTTCTTTCTTTCTTTCTTTCTTTCTTTCTTTCTTTCTTTCTTTCTTTCCTTTCTTTCCTTTCTTTTCTTTTTTTTTTTTTTTTGTACCCTTTTTTAATGAGGCATTGCTATGTTGCCCATACTGGCCTCAGAACCTGGCTTTCAGCCATCCTGCCTCAGCCTCCTGAGTAGCTGGGAACTGTAAGCATGTCCTGTGGTGCTTAATTCTCCCAGTTTTTGTTGTTGCTTTGTTTGTTTGAGACAGGGTCTCTCTATGTAGTTCAGGCTGGTGTTGAACTCACTGTGTAGCCCAGTTGGACCTCCAACTTGTGACAGTCATCCTTACCTCAGCGTCCTGAGTGCTGAGATTAAAGGCGTGCACCACCACATCTGGCTTTTCTCCCTGTAATTTTTATGAGACCCCATCATATATGCCGTTTGTTATTGAACATTATTATGCAGAGCATGACTGTAGTATATATATTGCATACATATTATATACATTCTGTAAAATTTGTAAACTGAGAGAGGGAAATATAAGAGGGAGTTGAAAAGCTCCTATTCCTTCCCGTGGACTGGTCATTCCAGACAGTTTTTCCCTCTTTCTGGGTTCAAACACTGCTGTTCTAAACTTATGAGGATCTGCTTTTTCTCTTGCATTTTGCTCTTTCTGTCTTTCCTGATTTAGTCACTTTTAAAGATTTTAAGGACATATTGGTTTTGTTTTGTTTGTTTTTTCGGTACTGGGAATCGAACTCAGGTCCTTGTGCTTGCAAGGCAGGTGCCAGAACCACTGAGCTAAATCCCCAGCCTTAAGGACATATTGGAAAAGCTATGTTAATAAAGAATTGGAAGTGATTATGCATTATTTCTATGTGTGCAAAAATTAAACTTTTATTTATGTAGGGATCTGTCAAATATATGATTGTGAAATTTCAGTAATTTATTATTAAATAGTAATTCAGCACACAGGTTAGAGGGGAGGATTTAAAGACAAATAGAAATGTTGTGGGTGCCATTTAGCTCCTCGTGGTCTGGTGGGAAGTAAGGCAGATAAATTGGTGGCTCTCCATCATGGATATGAAAAAACCTGGGAGGGTCTTTAAATGGCATTTTTTTCCTGGTGTTACTTGGGATTGAGCTCAATGCCTTGGTTCCCTGACCCTTTTTTATTTTTAATTTGAGATAGGATCTTGCTAAGTTATTAAATTGACCTGCAGGGGCTTCAACTTGTGGTCCTGCCTCAGTCTTCCAGAGTGCTGCTATAACAGGTGTGCACCACCATACCTGGCTAAATACAGATTTCTTGACTTAAAATTTTGTACCCTGCATCTGGAGAGGAAAGTTGTTGGAATTTACATGTTCAATTAGCAGCCCAAGTAATTCTGATGACTGGTCTGTGGACCATTCTCCTAAGAAATCCTAGTGTAAACAGATTAGACAGTAATGTTAAGAATTTAAAAGAGGTCTGTGTGGGGGACTTTGGGGGTACAAAGAGGAAACTACTGTACCTGGAGAAGTCTGAATTTTTAAGAATTTCTAAGATAAGTAGGAGGGGACAGGTTTTCTTTTTTCATTATTTTTCACACAGTTCCGCTTCTACTAAAGCTGTTAAGCCCTTATTTGAGTCATGTTGCTTTTGAATAAGATCAATTATAAAATATTCCTTTTGGTGCTTCCAAACTTTCAGGCCACTAAGGCGGGTGCAGCGTCCATGGTTCACTACATGGTTCTGATATCAGCTCGCTTGGTGCTGCTTACTTTGTGTGGATGGGTGCTTTGCTGGACCCTTGTCAATCTCTTTCGAAGCCATTCAGTCCTCAATCTGCTCTTCCTTGGCTACCCGTGAGTACTCCAGGTTTACATTTTATTAGCTAATGTTTAGAAATTATTTGGGTCATGCAAGTGATACTGTTAAAGAGTGGAAGACAAAATCTTCAGATATAAGCCCAGGGTTCAGAAAGTTGGAAACCAATGGATATGTTGATCATATAATTTGTTTTCTAGACTTAGAAACTGGAACAACAGGCATTAACCAGGACTGTCCTGTGAAAATGATAGGCAGGGCTATCCTTCCAGTGAAGAATATTTTAATAAGCTCTAATCACCAAGTAAAGGTCTCTAGTTTAACAGAATTACCATCATCAAAATTACTAGCAAACCTTTCATTTCAATTTAGTATATAAAGAAGCTTATTTATTCTTGGTGGTTCCTCAAAATTCATAAAACAATGAAATAAGCATGTAATTCAGACAAATTTTAGGATTTATTGACCTTAAGTTTTGTTTTGTTTTTAAGAGTAGGAAAAATTTATTGAGAGAAAGACAGCTTCTAAGAGAGGCAGAAGGGGGACCAGAAAGTGGGTTACTCCACCTTAAGTTTTGAAAATTATATAATCTACCTTTTATATAACCTTTAAAAATTAAATATGTAAACTTTAAGAATTAAATATTAAATTCAATTCAAAGTACTAGGTTATGGAAACTAGCATTCTTTTTCTGTTTAATCATAGGTTTAAAAAGAGGGCCTTTCTCTCTTTTTTTTCTTTTCTATTCTCAAATAGCTTCTTAATTCAGGGTAAATTAGTCCACAGTCTAGCCAGGCGCATGCCTGTCACCCCAGCACTTGGAATGCTGAAGCTAGAGGGTTGCTGCAAGGGTAAGGCCAGCCTGGGCTACGGAGTGAGTTCAAGACCAGTCTGAACGACATAGCAAGACCCTGTCTCAAAAACAACAAAAAAATCAGTCCACTCTTAAAATTGTGGCTCTTAAACATATCTTGAATCTGCTCAGGCCTGGGCTACGGAGTGAGTTCAAGACCAGTCTGAACGACATAGCAAGACCCTGTCTCAAAACAACAAAAAAATCAGTCCACTCTTAAAATTGTGGCTCTTAAACATATCTTGAATCTGCTCCTTGTTTTTCATTATTTCTTGTTCTTTGTTCTGTTTTTCATTGTAGGTAGAATGATTTTTGAAAAGGGAAATTTAACTCTTTAAAATCTTATAGTGAATCATTTTTTATTTTGCAAAGCCCTGTGGTCTAAGCCTTTGATGCTGCCTTTCTGGCTTCCTTTATTGTACACTGTATTTGTTATCGAGTGCCACAATAATAGTGTAACTACCACAGGTCCACAGTAGGCTATTACAGTTTTCCTTTACTGTGTATATACTGGCGAGGAGTCATGAGGCTTTCCTGAGCTGAGATGGCAGTCATCCGTTCAGGCAGCTGGGACAGCTCAACCCTGCCTCCTGTGTTTTCTCATCCTGTAGGACGCAAGCTTGGGTAGAGTCATGTGAAACTGGCAGAAGAGCACGAGAGTGGGCCTCAGTGTGCAAGCCCATTTCAAGCTTCTGATTGCACCATGTCTGTTAATGTTTCTTTCTTTTCTTTGTTTTTTTTCAGTACTGGAAATTGAAGCTAAGGCCTTGGTACTGGAATACTGTACATCTCTGGCCCCCTTTCATGTTTTGTTCGGAGACAGGGTCTCAGTAGCTAAGTTGCCCAGATTGGGCTGAATCTCTCTGCCTTCTGCCCATCTAAAACAAGTCATGTTGTTGAGCCTAGGACAGGGATAGGGCAGGTCACCTTTCCCACAGAGGAGGCTGTTGAGACTGTAAGGAAAAGTAAAGAATTGGTGCCATCCCTGCAATCTGCCACACTCCAGCCCCTCACCCTCTCGTCTACACATCCATTTTGGGTTTCAGCAGTCTCAGATCATCACAGTTTTGTACATGTGTGAGTTTTTCTGGCCAGTAACTCTACCTCTGACCCTTCCTATCCTCCCAAGAGCCCATTTACATTGGATCCTGGAGCTACTCATAACCATCTTCTTAATCAGTAAGAAGCTCATGCTTTCTTCCTCTGTAGAAAACTGAGAGCGAATATCACTGTTAATGTTATAAAATGTATAACTGAATAAGATCTTTTAGTTTCTGTTTCTCATATGTGAATTTATGTCAGTGAAGTGACCACTTTATTTATAATACTTGGGCCACAGTGTGAAAGTTATTTAATAAAGGCTTGGGAAAGTGTTTTTTTTTTTTTCCCTGTACTGGGGATCAAACTCAGGACCTTGTGTTTACGAGGCAGGCGGCGGAACCACTGAACTAAATCTCTGGCCCTGGGAAAGTGTTTTTAAAATGCTTAAGGAATCAAGAGTTGGAGTAACTATAAAAAATTATTAAGGGAAGCTGGGTGAGGTAACACCCACCTGTAATCCTACCACTCTGGGAAGCTGAAGCAGAAGGATTGCAAGTTTGAGGCCAGCCTGGGCAATTTGGTGACTTAGCAAGACCTTGTTTCAAAAGTAAAAAGTATAAGGACTGGGGATATAACTCAGTGTGTAGGCCCTGGGTTCAGTCCCCAATACAGTCAGAGGGGGAGGGGAGAGAAGGATGGGGAGGGGGAGAGGGAGAGGGAAACTTTGGATGTAGTTCAGTGATAGAGCTTGTGCTTAATATATGTGAAGTCTTGGGTTAAATGGTGTCTGACACCAAAAATGTTATCAGAGGTCTGAAAAATATTCAGTAATTCTTCTAAAAATGTTATTGTAGGTCTATATTGTTTTCACTTAATTCATCAGATATCGAGAGCAAACTGTTTTAGCCACTGGTTGAGGCACCAAGGATAGATTAGTGAATTAAGTAGACTAAAATCGCAGCTTTCTAAAACTTACATTGTAATGAGGGGATGACAGGCTGAGTAAAAGAACTGCCCCCCCCAAAACCCTGATAAACACATGGAATGATAAAATCTGTAGAAAAATAATAAGAAAAGAAAAGGGGAGTTGGCGGCCCCTTTGGTGGTGGGTGAGTGACACAATGTGGAGGCAGGGGAGCCTTCGCTAAAGAGGCACTGGAAGTGAAGGGCAAACCATGTGAAAATTACTAGATTTACATGAAAATGGTTGCTAGGAAAAACCTTTATTGTATTATTTATGCTAGTAGCAATAAGAAACAGCCTGTTTCTAATGAGAGAGGAATGGGTAAACCATGGTGTACCTACAAGTATATAAGAATACTGTAAAATCTTTAAAATCTGTCACAGAATAATACATAGGGACACCATGAGAACATAATATATACACAAAAGTAGCAGGATATGAAAACATTTTATGCTATATGAGGCCAAAGTATGTGTAGCTATATATCAAGTTTACGCATTGGAAAGAGGTGTACCCAGTAATAAAAATGATTAGTTCGAGGTCATTTATATTTTACCGTTGTGATTTTTTCTATAGTTTCCTATTGTACAATTACTGCATACTGCTTTTATGGAAGGAAGTTATAAAGCTTTCTAAATAACAGACTTACCGTCAGCAAAGTCCTCCCAGGTTGTGTTTCCTCTGATGTGTCATGACTGACTTACTGATGTAGTTATATGATATGCTTGTAGGTGCTGTCTGTGGTCTCATTTTGATATCCACCTTATTTTATAGGTTTGGTGTTTATGTTCCTCTCTGCTGTTTCCACCAAGATAGCAGAGCTCATCTTCTTCTCACAGACTATAACTATGTGGTTCAGCACCAGGCTGTAGAGGAAAGTGCCTCAACTGTGGGTGGCTTGGCCAAATCCAAAGACTTCCTCTCCTTGCTACTGGAGTCTCTGAAAGAACAGTTTAATAATGCCACGCCCATCCCCACACACAGCTGCCCTCTGTCTCCAGACCTCATCCGTAATGAAGTAGAGTGTCTGAAAGCAGATTTCAACCACAGAATCAAAGAAGTCCTCTTCAACTCTCTCTTCAGTGCCTACTATGTTGCGTTTCTCCCCTTGTGTTTTGTGAAGGTAAGATGTTAGCTCACTTTGTGTGCTCCCTGGATTTGTGTGTGAATTACATCAACTGGGTTTTTCTTGTTTAATCCCCCTTTTCTCTGTCTCCCCTTTGGCAGCCTGGATGGTGGAGTTCGGCTGCATCTGGAGTGCACTTATACCGCTCCTGGTTGGCGGATAGGTATTTCCATATATGTGATGCACCCTGTGGTGGTCCCCTCTTTCTTTTTCTTTTCTTTCTTTTTAATTTTTTTAAAAATTTTGTGGAGAAAATAAAAATTGTACTTACAGTGTATCAGTGTGTAGCAGCTTCAGTGAACCAAGGTTTCAGTGAAATTCAGCTTATTGTGGTTGATCTTAACAGGGTTATCAAGAATTACTTTGAATTTAAGTTAACCTTCTCTAAACTTCAGTTTATTTCAATAGAAAATAAAAATGGTCTGGATGTCACTTGGGCCCAAAATCTTTTGGGACATTTTAGTGTTTCCTTCGCCTATTCAGAAGCACTTTCGCAGCCGGAGTGGTCCTTCAGAAGCACTCGGTTCTTCTAGAAAGGAAACCCTTAAAATATAACTGCTCTCCCTCCCAGCCCTAACTCATACAGCCAGAAAGTCAGGTGAGAGGAGTTTGGAGGACTCTGCTCTCAAGGTCTCGCATGGACAAAGGACAACCAGTGCATGTTGACTCAGTGTGGACCTGTCTGCAGGGCATAGGTACCTGCACCCGTCCGTGCCTCTGTGTGCCTGGGCACGGGTCATTCCTCTCTCTCTCGTGGTCTCTTCCAGAGCACCCAGTACTATGACATGCGCTGGTCATGTGAGCACCTTATCATGGTGTGGATCAATGCTTTTGTCATGCTCACCACACAACTGCTGCCATCCAAATACTGTGATTTGCTCCACAAATCAGCTGCACACCTGGGCAAGTGGCAGAAGCTGGAACACGGGTCCTATAGCAATGCTCCACAGCACATGTGAGTAAGCTAGAGGGTAAAAGCACGTAACACTTTGTACATGCTGTTGGTCATGTTTATTTGCTTTGTATGTCATTATTCTTGGCTTTGAACATGTTTTAGTTTGTATCTACATGGATGCTCGCCATCATGCTAAACTGAACACAGGGAACATTAACTCATTTCCACCACCATTCCCAGACCCTTCTCAAATGTGTCCTACCTTTCTTTCAGCTGTCCAATCAATCCAGAGTGTGTAATTTGTGTCCCAAGCTGCACTTGGGAGTTTTCTTTTAGTTTTAACCCTTTGCCAAAATTTAGTCATATTTTTAAAATTCTTTTTATAAGGCTTTAAGATTTGTCATTTCATCTTCATTGCCAGCTTAGTAGTTGCTAGCTTCTCATCTCACATGTAACCAAGCTGGAATTTGCTTCTCTTTTCTTTCTAATATTTGCAGATTTGGTTTGGTAATTTTCTTTGCCTGCTTTTCAATTTTTTTTTTTTCCTTTTCTTCCTAATCTCTCTTCCCTCTCCCTCTTTCTTGGCTTTTCTCATATTTGAAGCAAAACCGTTGTAAGTCTCTCTCATTGTTCTTCCATCAGTAATTTCTCTGCATGGCCCCTTTGATCCAAAATGGCTAATTCTAGAAACCCCTTTTTCTCTTGCTTCTGAGCCTGTCATCATACTTGTTTCTTAGACCTGAACCATCTTCACCTTCCTCCCTTTGATTATTTGAACATTTCATAAATTTCATCTCCTACCATCTTTTTCCTAACTAAGCGGGACAGATTGAGGTGACTCCCTTCCCCTCTCCCCCTCAGAGTTCTCCCTTCAATTATCTGCCTTGATGTCTGATACAGATTAGCACAGGCCTTCAAGCCCAGGAACTGAGAGATTGGGCCAGGCTGAACAGAAACCTGACTGTGGGCAAGGACAGATTTCAATAAAAATTGAAAATCCAATCCACAGTACTAGTACTGTACATCTGCAGGCTCCTGATGGCACATGGCCATGAGGTGTATCATCACTTAATGCTGGTAAGTGTGAGCAAGGCCGGCGGAACATTTCTCCACTGGGAAAGCTTCAGGGTGCTAGAATATATATTTTTAACATATAACTGCTGTCCCAGTTCTTACCCTAGGAAACTAACCTTCCGAAAATCAGGAAGAAAATAATTAATTTAATTTTTGTTTTGTTTGGTTTTGTTTTTTAAAAAAAGATTAACCTGAAGATCCCCATCCCCACCCCAACTCCATTACAGTGATGCTGGAGAGAGTGAAGCTATTTATTCCCTAACTTCTTTTCCCTAGAAAAATAAACCAAGAGAGCGGTAAAAAGAAAAGTCTGTATCAGTACCTCATTGTGTCTGTGTGTTCTGCTGTAGAGCTTCCCACATCTGTGAGGTGTTTGAATTGATAAGCAAACTGATTTTCTTTAGTTTTGGGGAATGTAATTCTGCAGTAAAAGTCATGCTAGTTGACAGTGTTAATTTCTCTTCTGCTCTTACTGCCATCAGCTTCCTCCTATTTTTCCCATCATTTCTGTCAGTAGACTCTGCTTACTTGGGATGGAGATGACAGTCTGCCTGCTTACACTATTTTCTTGCCCATAGATGCCTTACTTAAACATATGTCCACTTATTCTTCTAAGCCTTTTAAGTTCTTTGACATTAACTTTATCACTCTGCAGTCTGTCTGTACACTAAAGCAATGAAGTTACTCTAACAAATCCATTCTAACTCCTAGTTTGACCATGAATACTGTATTTTCAGAATTCAGACAGATGAAGCCTTGAGTAGTTATAATCCCTTCCATTAAACTATAACTATACTTGCCAGACACTATCTTGTCTGTAATTGTCAATATGCTAACATTGCCTTTCTTTCTCCCTTAGTTGGTCAGAAAATACAATATGGCCTCAAGGGGTGCTGGTGCGGCACAGCAGATGTTTATATAGAGCCATGGGGCCTTACAACGTGGCAGTGCCTTCAGATGTGTCCCATGCCCGCTTTTATGCAAGTACCACTTATTTACTTTCCAACATAAGTTTAGGAGTTTTAGGAGGCCACTCCAAACACGCAGTATGCAACACTAGGAAGTGAATGCATGGTAATTACTGCTGTCATTTGAGGGTCATATACCATTATTCCAGACTGAATAGCTTAGCTGGTTTCTCTAGTTACATTGGAATTTGTTGAATCTAGTATTTGAAACTAGTATTTGAAATAAGTAGGCAATTACATAATTCCTTTTTCATCTACCGTTTTGTACTTCATCTTAGCCAAAAGGTGGAGAAGCGATCATCTACAATTTTGTTTTATAGTAATTTGGTTTAGTGGTGTCCTTAAGATATGTTGTATCTGTGTATCTCTACCTTATACTTAATATACTAATAACATGGTGGATATTTGGTTTTGTTTTTTTTGTTACCAGTTGTATCTATTGTCTCTTTAAAATTCCTTAACTCCTCCCTTGGAAGTCAGAAAATGCCTTGATCTGCAGCCTTTTACTTTTATGTACTTAGATTTGCGGCGGGGGCTTAAAGGTTAAAGGAAAAAAACCAACAGACACCCACTGGATCCAGCTTCTGTCACATTTGTATGGACGCCTTGAGTTATATTCTTTTTGGTCATTCAGTTTTCTAGAAATTCTAGTTTCAGGAGGTAAAAATCTTTACTTAGAAAGTCCAGCTGACTGATTTGGGCAGGAAAAAGACTGTACATGTAGAGGACAATTCTTGGTAAAAATGTCTAAATGCAGTGCATTGCCTAAGACTGAAGACCATTTTGGACCTTTTTTTTTTTTTTTTTTTTT